GTCCCGTTGGGATCACTTGTCCAGTATGTCCTTTGCAAAAATAAAATACTGGGGAAGTGCTTGGCCCAAGGGCCTGAGGTCAGAGGATTTGATGGCCCAAATAGTACATTTTGGCTTTGGTCTATAACAAGTCTTCCATCCCAGTCCAGAATACCAAACTATAGGGAAGAGTTGAAACCGGCCTAGCATTTAACTCAGACAGAGAAATAAGAGAAATTGTAAGAGAGTGGTAGAATTGCTTGGAAAGATCATCTTTGAGGTCACCGTGCTGAGAATGAATTCAAAAGGCAAACATATGCCTTATGAATACAAGCAAATAGTCAGACCATTGGTGGCTAAGCACAGAAGCACAAATATTTGCCAACTACCAGAAAAGCTTCACTGAGGGGACTTCAGATGTTAGGAGGATGGCGGAGCTGTTGCCTTCTGTCTCCACTGAAATCTGCTTACCTTTTTCAACTTCCTTCCTGGCTCTAGGGAAACAGGCCTTCCCCAGGCTCTGGAACAGACTAAGCCTTGACTCTCTTTCATTGGCCCCTGAGTCTCAGTGAGTCTCCTTTCCTTGTAGGAGGTGAGATTTCAGGGCCTTGAGCTAAGTGGGAATGACAGGTTACCTTGCATTTTAGCCTGGTGCTGGTAGAAATAAGTCATAGACAAGCTGTGACAAGGAGAGTGGGAAGTAACAGACACAGAATTTAAGTAAGTTTTTATCACTTATACAAACTGCACTGCAGAAAAGAAGAAAGGGATCCGGATCGCTCCTCAGGAGAAGAAGGAATTCCACGCCCTGGTGCTGAAACCCATCACAGTGACAGGGGTCCTTTCTCAACACCAACTACGTGTTTCCTTGATGTTGGCGGGGTCAGTGGAAATCTTGCAAAATATATGTAGGAAGAAAGGGTAGAACTTAGAGTAACAGTAAAGTCTAGCAGGATGTTAGGAAGGTGTTGACAGTTACAAAAGGATAATCGTATTTGCACAATAAAATATTACAGATATATCCTTCTGTTGCAATATAAATTTTATTTAACTACATGATGTGTAACTTTGTCTGCTATTGGGGGCTGATTATCTTTATCATGATTACTACCTCTATCTCCAATCAGAGAGAGAGGAAATCAACAATGACTGCTTTGAGTTGGATTACTCAAGTCCTAGAAATCCAAGATTGCTACATTAATTTTATTATACTGGCATATCTAAATTAACCCTGTATAGGATTTCTGAGGAGCTGATGGTGGGTTTGAACCACCAACCTTGTGGTTAGCAGTCTAGTACTTAACCTACAATGCCACATCAGAAAATAACATTGTTGTTGATACGTGCGCTCGAGTCTGTTTCAACTCATAGCGACCCTGTATGGAGTTTCCAAGGAGCAGTTGATGAGTTTAAACCACCGAACTTGTGATTCAAACTGACCTTGCAGTCCAGTGCTTATCCCAAAGCGCCACACCAGGACCACAGTGGAACCACTGTTGTTGTTGTTAAGTGCCGTCGTGCCATAGCTAGAATCAAATCCCGATGAGCTGGAATTGTGAGAATGCTCTAACCTGGCAGCGTTGGAGTTCTTAGCTCATCCAGCGTCTCTTGATTCTACCCTCTGGAAAGGATTCCAGCCTCTGGTGTCATCTATAAACCCTCTCTTGCCTTCTGGACATTTCTTTCTGCTTCATCATCCTCAGTGATTATATATCTCAAGTGTCAGATGCTGCCCTGGACTTGCGCGTAGAAGGTTCCTGATACTTTTGAATCTCATGGAAGTCTAGAAGCAGTTGTCAAAGCACACTGTAAACTCAAAGTCCAAGACCTATATTCTAGCACACATCTTCTGCTACTGAAGATGTCAGTAAACTTGGAAAAGGGTCTCTCCATCTCTCTCCATGCTCTAGTTCACAGTTGATTGATTCATACATTCATTCCACAAGTATTGATGGAGGGTTTATGTTTTAAATACAAAGGCATTATGGCGAACCTTCACAGAGTTTATAGTATAGAAGAACAAACAGACTTCATCAAATAATGAACTCTCTGCTTACACCAGTCCATGGGATCCAACTTTGTGACGTGTCAGCGTGTCATGGAGTAAAAATATAATCACAAACAGGGAGACTGCTTGGAAGTGAAGGAGCAGGATCCTGGAAAGATGCATTTCAATGTAACTTATGTAGGGGATCAAGGAAGCTTCCCTAAGAAAGTGCTGCTTGCCATGAGCTCTGCAGGAAGAGTCACAGTACAGCAGGATCCATGGTGGGATCCTGCCAGGTTAGAGCATTCTCATAATTCCTGCTTGTCAGGATTTGATACGAGCTAAGCTCAACGGCACTTAACAACAACAATGGTTCCATTGTGATCTTGGTGGGAAGCTGTAGGATAAACACTGGACTGCAAGGTCAATTTGAACTGCAAGGTCACCAATTCAAATCCATCAGCCACTCCTCAGAAACCTGTGTGTCGGAACCAACTCCATGGCACTTAACAATACAGCAAATGATAGTTCCACATTATCAGAAGGAACAGTTCCTGGAAAGTGACATCATACTCGGTAAGGTTGAGGACCAGGAAACAAGAGAAAGATCCCCTCCCCCAACACAGTAGATGCAACAATGGGCTCAAACATAACAACTGTGAGGCTGGCACAGGACCGGGTCATGTTTGGTTCTGTTGTGTTATAACAACTGTGAGGCTGGCACAGGACCGGGTCATGTTTGGTTCTGTTGTGTTTGGGGTTTTTATGCGTCTGGTCCGACTTGATGACACCTAATAATAATAGCAACACCATGGACACATGTCAGTTGGTATTATTCATTCTTCTAATATTGAAGCTTTCAATGCAGTTTCAGACTCCATCTTCCATGTTTGTATACTGGTTGACATGGGATGGAGACATATCTTATCTTGTAGCTTATAGATCCCCAGACACAGGGAACCAACACAAAGAAATGAGCACACCACAAGGGCTGAACTCTAAGTTCATGGAGTAATTCTGAGAGATTTTGAAGTTCTGTTTCTTGCCAATGAGATGAGAATATTCTATGTGTACAAAAATGCTCTGTGTGTTCACAGATATTTGGTTACACAAACAGGTAGACTGTGACAAACTGCTAGTTATGTCTCAATGTTCACAGCCTCATTTCATTCATAGGAATGAAATTGCTATTTCTTCTCTGAGCACATTTCCTAGCCTCTTGAAGTTAGTTAGTATAGCCGTGTAACAAAGTTTGGACTAATGTAATGTAGAAAGAAGTAATGTGTAAATCCCTGCTTATTCCCTTGGGCTGGACAGAATGTGCTTCCCTTGCCCACTCTGTTTCTCCTGAGTGGAATGTGGACTTTATGGTAATTCCCCATCTATGGGTGCATGTTGTTGTTGTGTGCCAGTGAGTCAGTTCTGATGCAGAGCAACCCTGTGTAGATTTTCTGAGAGCCACTAGTGGCTTTGAACTTTTGACTTTGCAGTTCACAGTCCAGTGTTTATCCTACAATGCCACACCAGGGCTCTACAGACTGCAAATACCCATATTATTAAGTTAAGAAGAATCCCTGGGTGGTACCAACAGTACTTCACTCAATTGCTGGTCATGGTTAGAGAACCGAATTGTTCTAGAAATGTCTCAGTAGAAAGAACCGATGTACTTCTGAAAAATGAGCCACTGAAAACTCAGTGGGACACAGTTCTATTCTGACACCCATGGACTCACCATGAGCTGGAACTGGCTTGATGTCAACTAGTTTACGATTTTATGAACCGTTGCTATTAAGCCCTATTGAGTGAGCTCCAACTCATAGCGACCCTGTATAAGGTTTTCAAGGAGTGCCTGCTGGGTGTGAACTGCCAAGCTTTCAGTCAGTAGTCCAGTCCTCATCCTACAGTGCCATACCAGAACTGGTGCTGAGTCAGCCCCTATAATTTTGGATCTTCGTTGAGCACCCAAACCTCTATCTAATATACTATGGTAAGGAATTTGTTCATTTTAAGGAAAATAAGAAGTTATTGACTGGATTTTAATTAAATTATCTGCTGAAAATCCTTTGGTGCTAATGTTATGTAAGTAGATACACAAGTTCATTCTATTCAAACCATCACTCCTGGGTTTCCGGAACGTGAGTAATCCAACCCATCACTGTTTCTTCTCCACTATGATCAGAAACAGAGTCAAGAATTGGGATAAAGAAAACCATCCTCCAATTGAAAAGTGACACATCACTTAGCTAAGAAAACAAAGTTTGAATTTCTACAAAACTGTAATATTTTATTGGGCAAATACTATAAGCCTTTTTATAAATGTCAGCATCCTCATTTTCCTTCCCTTTAGAGTGAATTGGGTGAAGGTTTACAGAGTAGGTCAGTTTTCTGTCCAACAATCCCTGCACATGTTGTTTCATCTCACTGACTGCAATCTCCACACTGCAACATCCCTTACCCCACTTCCTACCAGTGTTTCCTGTTTTCATTCCTCCTTCTTTCCTAAGGTTTCTGAACTTTGCCCTTGGGTAAATGCTGCCATTGTTTATCTCAAATGGCTGACTTTCTAAGGTAGCCCTAGTGTTACTGTTCCACTTACAAACCTGTCTATTATTTGGCTGAAAATTGAAGCTGAGTTCATTTCCAGACCTGGGGTTCCACCAGTCTCTAACCAGTAAGTCTAGTCTTTCCAATTCTGAGTTTTGCTGCAGATTTTTCTCTCACTCTCTCCAGACTTTCTAATGTGATTCTTTGCTGAGCAACTGACAGACAACACCCTCCTTCTGTTAACCTTTACTAACTCATAACTTCATGTTCTATCCTTTCTTCCTACAGAAATGTTGCAAGATTTTCAACACCCCAGAGGGTGTTGGGTAAGAACCAGACTGTGGAATTATCTTTTCTGGATGATGAGCAATCCCTTTCTTTTCTGCAGCGCATGTTCTTTTAAGTGATAAAAGTCATATTTAAATTCCGTATCTGTGATCTTCTTTTCCACCACACTTGGCACAATTGTCTGTGACCTATTTCTACCAGCATGAGGTTAAAAATCAAGGTACACCCACTGTTCCTGCTTGCTTCACAACCCTAAAGCCCTGCCTCCTACAAGAAATGGAGAAGCTCTCTGAGGTTCCGGAGCCAATGAAAGAGAATCAAGACTTAGTCTTATCAAGATCCAGGGAAATGTCTTTTTCCCCAGAACCAGGAACTAAATTGTAAAAGGTAAGCAGATTTCAGAGGAGACAGACGGCAACACCAGCTCTACCATCCTCGAAACATCTGAAGTCCCCTCGGTGAGGCTGCTATACAGTTGGTAATTATTTGTGCGCCTGTGTTTTGTCCCCAGTGGTCTGTTACTTGTATTTATAAGGAATATGTTTGCCTTCTCAGCACTGTAACCTCTAAGATTCTCTCTACAAACCTAGGTGGTTCCCTGTCCAAGCCAAATGACAGGCCCGTTTCAACTCGTCTCTTTAATCCGGTGTTCCAGATTTGGATGTAAAGCCTGCTATAAACCAAAGCAAAATTTTGCTATTTGGGCCACTAAATCATCTGACCAAAGACCTCTGGGACAAGAAGTTCCCCAGTATTTTAATTTTGCAAAGGATGTACTGGACCAATGGTCCCAACTAGAAAAGGTAAAACTTATTGCTTTCTAATTTTGGAAATATGGGCCGGTGACAACTGTCTAATTTATGACCAAAGATGATAAGATTCAAAACCGAAGTGTGCCTGGCACCAGAGTGCAAATTTGGAGGAGAGATATTATAGCAGTGATAAAGAACACAGATATGGCAGTCAGATAGAGCTGTGCTCAAATACTGGTTCTGTTACTAGCGAGTCATGTGACCTTAGCAAGCTACCCCATAGAAGCTTAGTTCTCCCTTGGTAAAATGGAGATATTAATGGTACCAGTTTCATAAGGATGCTGTTTTGTGGTTAAGTGCTGTTGAGTCAGTTCCAATTCTCAGTGACCCTGTACAGGGCTTCTGAGGAGCAGCTAGTGAGTTTGAACAACCAACCTTATGGTTCAAACTGACCATGCGGTTGAGTGCATTATCCTGCAGCACCACACATGGTGTGGTACACCATTTTCATAGGGTAGTTGAGATTAAATGAGATAAGATACTCGATGAAAAGCACAAAACTTGGTACCTAGTAAGCACTCAATTAAAGTTATTATCACTAGTAATTATCATCAGAATGATTTGATTTATTTCTAATCAACAAACATCTTTTGGGAATCTCCTAACATGTTCAAAATTTTAGATGCCAAACAGAAAACAAACCTTACATTCTAGTGCCTTGTTTGGAACCAACAGTTCCAAAGTTCTATAAGGAGCCCTGGTAGAACCGTGGAATAAACAGCGGGCTGCTAGGCAAACCACCAGTTGCTCTTCAAGAGAAACATGAGGCTATCTGCTCCCGTAAAGAATGATAGTCTGGGAAACCCTATTACAGGGTCTCTGTGAGTGTGAACTGACTTGATAGCAGGGGGTTTACAGAGTGCTGTAGGACAGGGAATAAGGGGATTACGTGAGATACATTTTCATAAGGATCCTAATGAGTGGGTCAAATTTCAACAAAGAGATACAGGAAGAGGAATCTAGACAAGCGCATCTGTATGAGTAGAACATGCAGTAAGAAAACACGAGAGTGTTCCTGGGCGTCTGGCTGCACATAGAACTGTATAGAGGAGCAGTGAGGTATGAGGAGAAAATGGCTGAAAATTTTGACGGAAATTTGACTGGAAGGCAAGGCCAGGAGTTTGGACCATATCTGGTGGTTGCAGAGAGCCCCTGAAGGTTTTTGAGTGATGCTTAAGACAGCTGCTAATTGAACCACAGGGTACACAGAAGGATGTTTTAGAACTGAAATCGGAATTACTCCCAGTCACAGAATGAAATGCTATCTCTGTTGTTTGCATCTGCAACAGTTCAAAGGAGAACCATAAAAAAATCTATGCAAATAGCTACAGGTCCATAGCCCATCCCCCAAAACCATAAAAATAGGGTTGGAAACAAATAGAAAGTTGATGGGGGGGGGTTGCTGTTTTTTTGTCAAATTGGGGGACACTGCTTTAATGAGAGATTCTAAAATAAAACTGTGTTAACTTCTGAGTTGTTCCAAGCCAGGTGAAGGGAACAGAAGAAAGTGGAGAGAAAGAGCTGGAGGAAGGGTGAGGGGAAAAGGTTTTAAAGGGAAAATCAATTTAGGAAAAAAAGAGAAGGAGGGAAGAAGCCAGGGAAAGATAGGGCGGAGAGGAGCGAGGTGGGTGAGAGGGTAATCTGTCATCTGGCGTGAAAGGGCGGTTCAACCAGAACAGAGGGACTGTGAACGTTCTAGGTGCCTGAATCTGTGCCTTCACTATGCAGTATTAAAAAGGAAATTCTTCCCTTTCAAAATTGTCATTGTATCAAACAACATGATTGTAAGAAGAAAAAAAAATGGTTCCAATAGCAGTCTCTACTCAGCTGGGTTCAATTATTCATTGCAATGGTCACTACAGATTCCGATGCCATACTCACAGAGATGGTGTTTATTTGGGAAGCTACCAGGTTATAAAGGAGCTCTGGTAGCATCGTGGTTACAAATCGGGCTGTGAACCACAAGGTCAGCAGTTCGAAACTACCAGCTGTTCCGTAAAGACTTTCTGCTCCCGTAAAGATTTACAGCCTCGGAAACCCTGTGCAGGGAAACTATGAGTCGGAATTGACTCCATGGCACGTAACAGTAACAACCAGGTTAAAATTCAGGTTCAGGAATGTTCGGGGCATAGTTCTTCCGGTCAGGACAGCCTCTCCCCAGCCATGCTTAACTGCAGGCTTCTCTCTGCCTGGACAATGTTACAAAGCACTGCTGGTTCATGATAACAAGACGTACCACTCCACTCCAAGCCTCAGCCTGAGAGCATCCCACTCTAGGTTCCAGGGTCAGCAAACTTAGTACCAAATCATGCTCCTGGAGGCCACCACTCTGCAAGCAAGTCTCCTGTCCAAAGTCACCCATCTTCATTTGTTCCTTGGCCTAGGAAGTCCACTGCTCTGTCTTGTTGTCTGGCTCTTGGCTCTGCTGCTGCTGTTCCTCAGCCTCTTCAGTCTCACAGCTCTCTGTCCTGGGAGGAGGAGGTTGGTTCAATGCACAGGGATCTTGGAGGCCAAAGGACACGCCCCACTCCTGGCTCTTTGTCTTCCATGGCGGTGAGATTGCCCCCTCCTGTTTGTGAGATGGATCGTTTAATACCCATGTAAGAGTTCCAAGTTTTACAACGACAGCTGACCCTGTTAACAGTCACAGTTGAATCATGTAACGCGTCAGCATCTTCCCCCACCTTTTCTTACCAAACTCATCAGGAAAAGTTGTTTGGTGGGCGTTTACAAAGACTATTGCTAGAAGAGACATTTAAAAGTTTTGCTGCACTGACATGGTGACCATCATGTCAAAAATGAAATATAAGATGACTACAAAATGTTTTATCACTGAAAAATAACTTTCATTGTGCAATGAATAAGGTATGTTTAGGGACAAGAATAGAACCAGAAGCAGGTAAGAGGAGGGCATTTTTTTCCAACAAAGAAGAACGTGTCCTGAAAAATATTTGCTACCTCTGGGCAAAGCTTGTTTCAGCACCCCAAAGGTTGAGTTTTCTCGGAAGTTTCTTCCCTCAGGCTGGCGTTGTTATTCAGCACGGTGCACCAGTAATGCCACGCTGGCTATTAAACATGAAAATAGTTCCAAACCAGTTGAGAAAGAGTCACTGCCTCAGTGCCTCAGGCATCCTATCCCTTCTCAAGATGTAGCCAGTCAAGGGGGAGAGCTGGTAAAGAGGTAGCTTCAGTCGCTGACTGATGTCTTGAACATCACCCGTTTAGGATTGGCGCAGAGGTTCTTTCCCAGCACTCTGGGAGATAAATGCCAAAGGACTGGAGATGAGATGGAGCTTTGAGAGGCTGGTTCGTTTCTCCCAGAAGGCAGCCAGCATCCTGTCAGACATCTGTACCCTCCGCCAAGGGGACCGGCTGATGATACTCCTACCTCCTTCATCTGAGACCTACTGGATTTACCTGGCCTGTGTGAGATTGGGTAAGGCACCAGACAGGGAACTCCGGGGTCAGGACCCACAGGGATGCCAGCCACATCATTCACAAAATGAAGGGATGTTAAAAGGCTATCCTCCGGATCCTTGAGTTCATCCCACTGGATGGCTTTTTTTTATTTTTAATTTTTAAAGAGGCCAGTTTGAAGTCAAGATCCACCATTTGCCACTTTGTAATGTTATGGCTCTCTGAGCCTCATATTCTTGTCTATGAAACAGAGACAATGAAAGTACCAGACTTCGGGGTTGTTATGAAATTTTAAAGCCTGTAAGCTGTATAAGGTGCTTAATTATCTGTCATTCCAAGGAAACATAAACCTCAGCTAACATCAGGGTAGCAGACTTAGCAACCCCACATTCCCCTCTCTGGGCTTCAGTTTTCCCATTTATAAACAGAGAGTGTGGGAACATGTCTAACCAGTTGCTGTCAAGTCAAATACGACTCATGGTTAACCCCTGTGTGTCAGAGTAGAACTGTGCTCCGTAGGGCGTTCAGGGGCTGACTTTGCAGAAGTAGGTCACCAGAACTTTCTTTGAGGTGCCTCTGGGTGGACTTGAACCTCCATCCTTTTAATCATCAGCCAGCACATTGATACTGCCAAGATACTCCGACCCTGTAAAGGGCCTACTACGTCCAGTTTTGTAGAGTCCTTCAGAATCACCCTCAATCAGAGCTAGATGGAGATGGTTTCACATACTGTTAGGACTCCTGGTGTGGTGGTGTGTAAGATCACTGGACTGTGAACCACAAGGTCGGCAGTTCACACGTACCAGCTGCTCTTCGGAAACCCTATACAAGGCCACTATGAGTCAGAGTTGACTCTATGGCAATTAACAACAACAACAGGATAGAGAAACTCTCTGTGGGCATTCCATCCTCACCTCTCAGACTTATACCGCCACATAAGTTCCACTGGCATGAACTAACTCACCACAGTGCGAAGCCAAGAATATCGTAAACAGCCCACCCTGGACACCAATCTCCTTTGTCTGCCATAGTACCTAACATTCTATTCTCAAGTCGGACACAGACATCTCTTTGGTGATTGGAAGGTTCCTATGGAAATACAAGTGTCAATGACATGGGAAAAACTTACATCACTATCAACTACCATGAATGGCCCACCCTATTGCTTTTGCCTTCTAAACCAGCTACAAGTTGAGATAGCTTAGAAAAGTGATTCAAAGAAAGGAGTGTTTTAGATTGTCAGGTGTGGGTAAGGTACACATGAAAGAAGAGGAAGTGATTCCTGTCCTAATGTCCTACCCAGACTCCCAAAGTTCCCCAACTTCCTGTGGAGTGATTTATCCTGAAGGACGAATGATCCGTATCTGAGAAAGGACACAGACCATTTCAGTCTGAGCCACCAGAAACTCTTTTTATCTGAGGCCAAGAATTTCTGGTGGCCCAGATTGATATCTTTGTTTTTTGACATGTGAGAGGGGTCTTTGGCAGCAGATTTGCCTAATGCAATATGCCACTTAAGTACTTGACTGCTGCTTCCATGAGTGTTGATTGTGGATCCAAGCAAAATGAAGTCTCTTTCCAAATTTGTTGTTGTTGTTAGTTGCCATCGAGTCGGTACCAACTCATAGCGACCTTATGCACAGCAGAACAAAACACTGCCCAATCCTGGGCCAACCTCATTATCGTTGCCATGCTTCAGCCCATTAATGCTGCCACTTTGCCAATCCATCTCGCTGGGGGTCTTTTCTTAGTCTCTGACCCTCCACCTTACCAAACATGATATCCTTCTCCAGCGACTGGTCCCTCCTGACAATATATCCAAAGTATGAGAGACAAATCATTAAAGAATTAACCTAAACTGTGATACTGGTTTGAAATGACATTCTAGATTCTTCTATGTACTCGGGTCTGTGTCTGGGCTGTCCATTTTATTTTAACTAGTTTATCCTAGTTCCAACAATATGCTATTTTTAATATCACCAGTGTAAGAAATGCCCAGCATACAATCTACAGGGCAGGTGCCTCACTTGAGGACTAATGTACACAGTTCAAATAAACCAGTCACTCATCGGAAACCCTATACAGGGTTGCTATGAGTCAGAACTGACTCGACAGCACTTAACAGCAACAATTTGGAAAGATAAAAGATGACCTCATATAATGTATTAAAATAAAATTTTAATTGGCCACAAAGAAAATGAAATGTTAAAAACGATATTTGACCTAGGAAGAAATCAAAAGTGATATCACAAGTTTCTTAGAGTCAAAATGAAAGTGCAATATAACAAAATGCATGAAATGCAGCAAATGTAATAGTCAGAGGAGAACTTACAGCTACAAATGCCTACATGAAGAAAGAAGAAAGATCTTAAATGAACAGCCTAAATCTACAACTCCAGGAACTAGAAGAGTAACCTAAGTGTAAACCTACCAGAAGAAAGGAAATAACAAAGACCAGAGCAGAAATTTTTTTTTGTTTTTAATTGAAAAGAGCTAATAGAGGAATTTAGAAAAGCTGAGGGATTCAAGGTCAACAAACAAAATCTAGTTGGGCTTCTATACATCTTATTGTTGTTGTTGTTGTTGTTAAGTGCCGTCAAGTCAGTTCCGACCCATAGTGACCCTGTAAAGAGTTTCCAAGGAGCAGCTGGTGAGCTGGAACTGCCAACCTTGCAGTTCATAACGACTTTGCAGTCCAGCACATTTACCCACAGCATCACACCAGGACTCCTAGCAACGAGAAATCTGAAAGGGAAACAACTCATTTACAATAGCATCTAAGAGAATGAAATGCCTAGGAATAAATCTAGCCATGGATGTGAAGGATTTATATAATGAAAACTATAAACACTGCTGAAAGATTAAGACTTAAATAAATGGAAAGATGTTCCATGTTCCATATTTGATTGAAAGACTTAATATTGTTAAGATATCAAAACTATTCAAAGCAATCTATATATTCAATTCAATCCCAATCAACATTCTAACACCTCTTTATAGAAATAGAAAAACCAATCCTTAACTTGATATGAAATGGCAAGAGGCCCTGAGTAGCTAGAACAATGTTGAAAGAACAAGTAGACGACTCACATGTTCTCATTTTGAATCATACTCTACAGCTCTAGTAATCAAAACAATGTGGTGCCAGTCTAACAACAAACACATAGACCAGGGGAGTAGAATTGAGAATTCTGAAATAAACTGCACATTTATGGCCTACTGATTTTTCACAAGGATATTAATGGGGAAACAAGAGTTTCTTTAATGAACAGAGTTGAGAAAATTGGATTTCCACATGCTAAAAAAATAATAGGATCCACGCAACATACCATACATCAAAACTAATTCCAAATGTGTTAAAGAACTAAATGTATAAATTAAAACCATAAAATTCTTAAGCAGAGGTAATATTATCAGGCCTAGCTTTTAACAATGGATTCTGCAATATAATCAATCACCAAAGCGTAAATAGCAAAAGACAAAATACATAAACGGGACCTCAGAAAAATTCAAGGTTTTTGTTCATCAAAAAATTATATCAAAAACATGAAAAGACAACTGGACGAATATCTTCAGAGACCATGTATCTGACAAGGATCTAATAACCAAAATATATTTCAAACTTTAACTACTTCACAAAGACAACCCAACCATAAAATAAACAAAGAAATTGACATTTCAGCAAAGAGGGCATTTAAATGACCATCTAACACACAAAAAGATACTCAGTAGTATCATTATCTATCAGAGAGGTAAGGATCAAAATTGCAATATCATTTCACTCCCACTAGAATGGGTAAGATAAAAATTTTAAAGTAAGTGTTGGCAAGGAAGTAGGGAAATTTGAACCCTTACCCACTGCCACTGTGGAAAACAGTGTGGTGGATCCTCAAAACACTAGAAGTAGAACTATGCTATGACCCAGTAATTCCAATTGGAGACTCGGAGACTTGTACACCAGCATTCACTGAAGCATCGTTCACAATAACCAAAAGTAGAAACAAGCTAAATATCCATGAACAGACGGATGGTTAAACAAAATACGGTATATTACATGCAGTGGAATACTATTCAACTAGTGGAAGAAATAGAGTCTTGATAAGTGGTACAATGTGAATGAAGCTGGAAGACATTATACTGAGTGAAAAAAGTCAATCACAAAAGGATATGTATTGGTATGACCTCACTTAAAGAGATAAGAAAGGGCAAATATATAGAGACCAAAGTTTATTAGTGGCTATAAGGAGTGGGAGGGAAGGGGGAAAGGAGAGGCTAATGATAGAAATACAGCATTGATTAAGGGTGGGTTGCAATCTGATTATTGTAATTGTTATCGATAAGTTGTACAGCTGTAAAAACTTGAACTGGAAAAAGCTGTGTGATCGATGCATATAACAACAAGAGTTAACTGTTGAAGTTACTTATGTACAGATAAAAACCTCATGGGATTTGATTGCTTGGTTTGGAGGTTTAGAGTCATGGTTTCATGAACCATCCCAGTTAACTGGCTTATGGCTTAGTAACAGATTAGTGCTCCAATTCTACCTCCTAATGCATAGGCAGTGCCTGGTGTCCAACACCTAGAAATGGCTAGCCAAGGCCCAACACAGTCTCTAGTCACAGTGCCAACAGAAGGAGAGTCTGGAATAGGATATGAAATGCGTGGCTAATTGACTCCATGAACAACTGTCTCCTTTGTCATTAGACCATAAGGACTAGATGGTGCTCAGCTACCAAGAGTGAACATTTTGATGAAACATTCTGATCAAAATGGGGGAAAGTAAAACAGACTTTCAAATTCTCACAGACTACAGACTCCCAGGTCGGATAAACCCCTAACTATTGCCCAAAACTTTAAACCAAAAGTATCATCTCAAGTCTTCTAAAACCAAAATTTAGCTCAACTAGTTAAAAAACAAAGGAAGCAACTTAAAGATTAGGTAGGAACTTTAGGGGGGGCAGTCCATTTATGTTACTGGAGGAGGAAGAACTCAAAAAAGGAGGGTGACAATAGTCCAACTAAAGAATACAATTAATGTCACTTAATGGTACAAGTAGAAACTGTTGAGTTGGTGTGTGTTTTGCTGTGTATATATGTATTGGTATATATGTGTATGTTTTATTTTTGTTGTTCAGGAATCAGCTTTGTGCCTGGGCCCTCCCTACTGACCGCCAAGGAAATTCTCTATCGATTAAACATATCTAGGGCTCAGTGCATTGTGGTCGATGAGACTGTGGCCCCAATTGTAGACTCTGTTGTGTCTAAATGCCCCACCTTGAAGACCAAGCTTCTGGTGTCAGATAAGAGCTGTGATGGGTGGCTGGATTTCAAGGAGTTGATTCGGTGAGTGAGAACCGAAAGTGAAGCACTGAGGAAGAAAATGTCTGATTTGGGAAGGGAGGATGATGTGTCAGGGGCACTGATAAAACTCAGATGATATCAGCAGAATAACTGGGTGAATACGAATAATGGTCATTGACTGAAAGCACATTATTCCCCAACAATCACACAAAAATTCCTGGTGTACTTTTCAAGCTCTTAATTGGAGTCAAAGTCTCATTTCCTGATTCATACCTAAGGGTTCAATCTGGGAGAGAGTGAAACAAGGGGAGGAGGATATAGACATGTAAATGACTAGTAGTATACACTCTGGTAGCATAGTGGTGATGAATCAGGCTGATAACCTCAAGGTTGCCAGTTCGAAACTACCAGCTGTTCTGCGGAAGAAAGATGAGGCCTTCTGCTCCCCTAAAGATTTACAGCCTCGGAAACCCTGTGCAGGGTAGCTATGAGTTGGAACCGACTCCATGGTACTTACCAACAACAAGTATACATTTTTAAATAACACTCACCCATAAATTTTCATTTATAAATACAAAAATACTTATTCAAACAATGGGACGATGCCATTTTCAACTTGAGTTTAGCTAAAAATTCATATTTCAGTGTCCAGGGATACATAGGTGAATAAGACAGGCAAAGTCCATGTCCTCACGGAGACAACGGTCTAGACAGATTATTGTTACAACGGCCATTCCAGGAGTGTTCTGTGATAATATTTATCCTTATTGCCTTTAAGTCTTGTGATCTACGCTGTGTCTTCTTTGATCCTGATAATTTTGTGCTGGCCCCTTGTTGTAGATTGCCTTTCCCTTCACCCAAGTTAATGTGTGCCTACCTGGTGTGGTTTTCAGTGATTAAATATTCAGAAATAGTTCGTCACTCTTTCTTCCTAGTCTGTCTTTGTCTGGAAGCTCATCTGAAACCTGTCCACCATGGGTAACCCTGCTGGTATTTAAAATATCGGTGATATAGCTTTCAGAATCACAGCAACTCACAAGTACCACAGTATGACAAACTGACAGATGAGTGGTGGCCGTCTGATACTGAAGGAGGAAGTCCAAGGTGCATTGAAGGAATTGTCAAAGAACAAGGCACCAGGAATTAATGGAATAAAAATTGAAATCTTTCAAGAAAGCAAGGCAGCACAGGAGGAACTCACTCATCTCTGCCAAGAAACTTGGAAGACAACTATCTGGCTGACTGATTGGAAGAGATCCATATTTGTGCCCATTCCAAAGAGAGGTGACCCAATGGAATACGGAAATCTGAACAAACTCTTGGATATCCCATGCGAGTAAAGTTTTACTAAACGTAATACAAAAACGGCTAAAATCATACAAAGAACTTTCAGAGGTTCAAGCCGGATTCAGAAGAGACTGTGGAACAAGGGATATCATTGCTGATGTCTGATGGATCTTGGCTGAAAAAGCAGAGAATATCAGAAAGATGTTTATCTGTGCTTTATTGACTATGCAAAGTCTTTTGATTGTGTGGATCATGACAAGCTATGGACAACATTGTGAAGTATGAATATTCTGGAAAACTTAATTGTGCTCATGAGGAATCTGTACCTGGACCAAGAAGCAGTTGTTCAAACAAAACATAGGAACACTGAATGTTTTAAAATTTAAAAAGGTATGCGACAAGGTTGTATTCTTTCATTGTACTTATTCAACCTGCATGCTGAGCAAATAATCTGAGAAGCTGGGTTATATGAAGAAAAATGTGGCACCAGGATTGGAGGAAGACTTATTAGCAACCTGCTATGTGCAGATGATACAACCTTGCTTGCTGAAAGTGAAGAAGACTTAAAACATTTACTGATGAAGATCAAAGAGCACAGCCTTCAGTATAGATTACATCTCAATGAAAAGAAAACAAAAATCCTCACCACTGGACCAATAAACAACATTCTTATCAACAAAGAAAAGACTGAAGTTGTCAAGGACTTCATTCTTCTTGGATCAACTATCAACATTCAAGGAAGCAGCAGTGAAAATCAAACACTTGGAGTGTGTGCAGAGGGATTTGACCAGTCATCAGATGGGCAGGGATGGTGGTAAGAACACGCCTCTGGTCCCAGAAGGTTGTATAAGGTAAAGGGGAGGTGCTGATGCAGTCCCGGGCAAGCTAAGCCAGTTATCTGGCTCCTGTGCCAATCAGAACACTGTCTACAATAATTCAAAATGGCCATGCTGTGCCAGTTAGAAGTTTACCACTCTATATACCTCCCTGTTTTCTGTTTTCATTTAGTCTCTTCCTCTCATTGGTATTTGATCTACTTCTTCATCTTTTATTTTCAAGATCTGAGTTTCAGGATGACAATCTGTTTCTGTTTCACTTGATTTCTCAGGTCTTTGTTGTAGAGGGTCTGGATGGTGTATCTGCCTAGCTCACCACCTCGGATCATCCTCTTTTGCAAAAAATTAATATAAATATTTTTTCAAGAAAAAAATCATCCCTTAATATACAGTAAAACCTGTATAAACTGAAACCTATATAAGGCGAAAACATGTAAGAGAAGAAAAATTCTAATATTTTCCACTAATAGCAATAAAACAATAGTAAGACTGCTTAGTGTGGGGGGCATGGTGCTGATGGTGGTGTGCAGTGGAGTTGGTTCTGACTCACTAAGACCTGTGTAGGGTTTCCGAGGCTGTAAATCTTTACAAGAGCAGAAAGCCTCATCTTTCTCCCACCTAACAGTTGGTGGTTTCAAACTGCAGATCTTGAGCCCAACTCGTAACCACTATGCTACCAGAGTTCCATTGATTTTGGGTAACACTTATACATGGTACTTCAATAAAATGATTCTGGTCCAATTAAAAAGAAAAGCGATAAGCCTGTATCCTGTTAATGGTAGAAAACTTGCAAGATGGGGAAAAATAAGGCAGTCCCAATGAGTTCTAGTTTTCACAAACTTCACTGTACATGGGCCACTATTTTCAAAATTGAAACAAATTGATTACCAAATTGAATCTAAAACTCACTGTGACCTCTTCCATGATTTACAGAGTTACCCTTCCAAAGCAAACCTGTGTGGACACCAAGAGTCAAGATCCAATGGCCTTCTTCTTCACCAACAAGACAACTGGAGCTCCTAAACTGGTCGAATACTCCCAGTATGGCTTAGGAATGCTATTTAGCCAGGCTTCAAGGTACAGTTCTCTTGTTGGGTAAAAGGAGAATTAATGACACGTGCCCAAAGTAAGAATGGAGTTTCTCACCCTAGTCTGCAGAAAATGTCAATATGAAGGGAAAGGACAGGTTTGAAAGCAGAGTGAGGAGGGTATACATGAAAGGGTCAAATGAAAATTGAGTCATAAATCTAAGAGCCTGAGAAGAGAGAGGAGGAGCCGTGTGTCTGTGTCAGTGGGGAAGGATCCAGGGAAGGACACTATTGTGTGTTGCTTGTTGCTCGATGCTACCAGACCCATGGTGAACAAGTATGTTGACCACGATGTGAAGTGACAAATGCAGCTCAAGTCACACTTGGGTTGTAGAGTCAGCAGCTAAGATAAAAAATGTATATCATCATGCTACCCTTTTAAAAATGTCCGTGTGTATGGTCACCTTTTATGTTGTTTAAAAAAGGTATTTGCATGAAATGTTTTTGAAATGTTCTTTTTGCCAGTGAATGTGACCCCCGTTCCTCTTCAATTTGACCTTCTTGGCATAATAAACTACATGATTGTCTGATCAAAACTGGCCAATACCAGTCCATTTCAGCTTGCTCATCTCTAGGATATTGATATTTATGCATTCCAATTCATTTCTGACAACTTCCAATTTCCTTAAGATGCATACTTCATACATTCCATGTTCTGATTATTAATGGATGTTTGCAGCTATTTCTTCTGCTTTTGAGTTAGCCCCCATCAGCAAATGAAGATCCTGACAGCTTTGCTCTATTTGCTTCATTATGTAAACTCTACTTTGATGAGGTAGCTCTTCCCCAGTCGTATTACGAGTGCCTTCCAGCCTGAAGGGCTCATCTTCCAGCACTGTATCTGGCAGTGTTCTGCTGCCATTCAGAATGTTTCCATTTTCCGGCACTATATCTGACAATGTTTCCCAGCTATTCACAGGGTTTCCAGTGTGTAAACATTACGCAGTCGGAAGTCCTTCTTCCTAGTCTGTCGAACTCTAGAATGTCCACATTAGACACTAATGATCAAATACAAGAACATCATACAGGAAGAAAGAAAAAGGTCATTTAAAAGAGAGAGAGAGAGAGAGAGAGAGAGAGAGAAAAGATCTAAATGGGTATCAGAAGAGACTCTGAAAATTGTTCTTGAGCATAGAGAAGCTAAAACAAATAGAAGAAATGAGGAATTAAAAGAGCTGAGCAGAAAATTTCAAAGGGTAGTTTCAAGAAGACAAAGTAAAGTCTTATGAAATATGCATCAAAAGAAGTTGGAAGCAATACAGAGTCAGTGTACCAGGCCACTGACTTCCAAGGCCACATTGTCACGATGGAACTAGAAACCCAGAGAGAGCTAGGCCATTTCTTTCAGACCACTCTTCAACCGTTTCCAGAGGTAGCATATGGAAGGTCGCCTGGTGGTCCAGTGTATCAGTCTCTTACTTCAACAGTGTTGGACGGAACCAATCTGGGGACCCCCACTTCCAGCCTCAGACCACCATCCAACATCCTCTTCAGGCACAGTCTCCTCTTTAGGACCATCTTCTTGGCCATCCCCTGTTTCCTGGAGCATGTAAACACCGGTTTGTTTTCTAGTTATCTGCAAATCCTCTATCAACCATGAGCTCTCAGCTCCATCAGAATTATTCCAACAAAGCAGAGGCTGACATCAACCATCTGGTCAATCTGCATCTGCCTGCCTCTTAAGCCTAGCGCTCTCTGGGCTTCTAGTTCCATAGTGACAATGTGGCCTTGGAAGGTCTGGGTACTGCTTCTGGGAGCTGACGACGAAGAAGCACAAGGGTAGTGTATCTTGAAGCTGTAATCCCAGCTGGGCAACTGCACTCTCTTCTTGGACTAGCAGAAGCTGCCCAAGATGCATGGGGTACAATCCTGGACATCATGGGAGCAGCCCTGGTCCTGGAGAAGAACCTAAGGCAGTCCCTTTTGAGCTGCATGTCATGAGTGTTACCCACACAGACCCCCACCTCTACGACTTTCTGGAGAACCGTTTCCTGAAAATTCTCAAAAATCTGGATGACTATTTGACCAATCTCTGCCGGCTGGCAGGTGCCCAGACAGGACTGGGTGAGTAGCCCTTTGAGAGGCTCACTCTCATGCAGGCTGAGGAGCCCGGGGAGCCTGCGGTCCTCAGACCTTCTGCCTGAACCTCTTACCTTCAGTCATAGAGGCAGCACTGTCAGCACCCGGGAGGCCTCTCTCCCTAGCTGGGTTCCTTTTAAAGAACACAAAGGAGATAACATAGGATCAAGAACCAATGGTACTGAAGGAAGAAGTTCAAGCTGCACTGAAGGCATTGGCAAAAAGCAAGGCTCTAAGAACTGCTGTAATGCAAACTGATACAGCACTGGGACCTCTCACTCACTCATCTATGTCCAGAAATTCGGGAAAAAATCCATATTTGTGCCCATTCCAAAGAGAGGTGACCCAACGGAATGCGGAAATCATCAAACTATAATTAATATCACATGCAAGTAAGAATTTGCTTAATATGACTCCAAAAATAGTTACAACTGTACACTGACAGGGAACTGCTAGAAATTTAAGCCAGATTCAGAAGAGGACATGGAACAAGGGATATCATGGCTGACATAAGATGGATCTTGAGTGAAAGCAGCGAATACCAGAAAGATGTTTACCTGTGCTTTATTGACTATGCAAAGGCTTTGGACTGTGTGAATCGTGCCAGAAGAACAAGCGAATGTGTTTTGGAAGAAGTACAGCCAGACTGCTCCTTAGAAGTGAGATGGAAAGACTTCATCTCACGTACTTTGTGATGTACTACCAGGAGAGACCTGCCCCAGGAGACAGAGAGGTGCTTGGTAAAGTAGATGGTCAGATAAAATACCCTCAAAAGGGCTGACTCAGTAGCTGCAAAGATGGGTTCAAGCGTAGCAACAATTGTGAGGGTGGCAGAGGATCAAGCAGGGTTTCATTTGTGCATAGGGTTGGAAGTGATTTAGCTAGACCTAACCAGCACAATCTTGGAGTAGATGACAGGCATTGTGAACTTGGTCGTATTGGGTGCTGGATGCTTTGTATTCTTGTCAACCGTCCTGGGCGTTGTTCAGGGTTGCAGGCAGTTTCTTGGGAAGAGTTTTGTTCTTTCAGGTCTTACCTTTCAGATTTGCTCAGCCGCCCTGGGGCAGTGCTCAGCAGACTGCTGACTGATGCCCACCCCTGAGCCAACATCTTCCCCAGTCTGCACCCTGAATAATGCTTTCTCATCTGACTGATAGGACCAGGCACAGCCTGACCTTGCTTCCTTCACCTCGTGTGCTGCTGTTGAGTTGACTGGCGATCCTGAGACACAGAGCAGAGCTGCCTTTTAGGGTTTCCTAGGCTGTCATCTTTACAGGAGCGGATCGCCAAGTCTTTTCTCCACAGAGCCGCTGGGTGGGTTCCAACCGCCAGTCCTGCCGTTAGTGGTTAAGCGCTTAACTGTCATGCCACTAGAGCTTCTTTTCTTCACTCTTATTGTTGTCGTTCTTGTCAAGTGCCGTCAAGTTGGTTCCCGCTCATAGGGACCCTGTATGAGGTTTCTGAGGAGCAGTTGGTGGGTTTGAAGCATCTACCTTGTGGTTAGTTAGGGGATAGGATTTACAGTACGAAGAATGGGTATTCCATAACACAACTGTGCTCATGAAGAACCTGTACATACATACACAAACAGGCACTTGTTAGAACCGAACAAGGGGATACTGAATGGTTCAAAATCAGTAAAGGCATGTGCCAGGGTTGTATCCTTTCACCATACTTATTCAATCTGTATGTTCAACAAATCTGAGAAGTTGGATTATATGAAGGAGAACATGGCATCAGGACTGGAGGAAGACTCATCAACAACTGCAATATGCAGATGATACAATCTTGCTTGCTGAAAGTGAAAAGGACTTAAAATACTGATAAAGATTAAAGACCACAGCCTTCAGTATGGAGTGTACCTCAGTGAAAAACATGGATCAATAAATAACATCATGATAAATGGAGAAAAGATTGAAGACTTCATTTTGCTTGGATCCAAAATCAACACTCATGGAAGGACTAATCAAGAAATCAAATGACATATTTCATCAGCTAAATCTGCTACACAAAACCTCTTTAAGATGTTAAAGAGCAAAGAGATCAATTTGAGGTCTGAGACGAACCTGACCCAAGCCATAGAATTGTAAATCATTTCATACGCATGAAAATACCATGGACTGTAAGAAAAACAAACAAATCTTTCTTGTAAGAAGGGGGGTGGGGCGCTACAAAAGCAAGAAGTAACTGGCTTACAAGCTTTCAAGAGGGAACCTAGATCCAGAGGGC